TGCACACAGCATCTTCAGATATAGATGTAACCCAGCATCATTCTCATTCTGGAAACTTTTAGCCCATGAAGTTGCTCTCCTCCATACTTTGTGAAAAGTGACAGCAATTACTAGGGCTTTATGATGAAATTAGCACTTTGCAATATGGATGAATACGACTTCTTATTTTTAGAGAAAAGCTGAGTAAGAAAATGCAGACTGAAAAGGAAGTTCTTGCTTTTCTTTTTAATTTTTTTAAATTAAGGATTCTCTTTAATGTTTTTTGTTACAATTATTTGAGGCAGACAGAGGATAAACAAAATGAACAGTCTACACCTGAAAGTAAAAGATATGTTAGTAGGGTAGTTCTTTAATGAAATGTAAAGTTTAGATGTATTTGCCTTCTGTGATGAAAAACTCTTAATAACCACTGAGATACCGCTTCTTTTCTCTTTGGGCAAATTAAAGGGAATTTACAAGGACTGTGTTTTACAAACACAATCTATACGTTGAATTCTTCTGGACTTTACAAACTATAGCTTTAATCACTGTGGCACATAATTATTCCATGCTTTGCTTGAGTCTTTTATTTAAAAAAACAGCAACTGATAACAGCTTTCCTTGAGAAATCCAAAACTTCTCAGTCCGAAGAGGCAGAGACAGTGAAGTAAAATCTTCTTCTCTCCTCAAAAGAGTAAGATGTCAGAATGCAAACAAACATTCTCAGACTCTTTAAGACAAAGCTACTTTAATATTACATATCATTTTCAGCCACCTGAAATATTCATATGCATGACCAGAAGACAAAACACACGATTATTCCTTTTTACTATTCAATTTGGGAAGAATGACTTGACAAACTACTCATACAACCTGCAATATTTGTCCACTGAGTGCCATGAGAGCTTCCCAAACCAACTTCACTGTTCTGTCTGCTCAGTGATTCTCTGGTATAGATCAAAAGCAGTCAGTCGCCCTGTGACTCGAGCATTCTGTGCTCAATTGTTTAACTAAACCAGTTCCCTGATTTCTTAAGGGTCTTTGACAATTACATGATGTCTTCAAACACCTCAACAAGAACGTATTACAAATATACATAGAACCTTTGAAAACCAGGATATTAAATTATGCATTTCTAACATTAGACCTGAAATCCTAGACCAACCTGAGAGAATTTACAAAGTAAATTAGTATCTTTCCCTCTCTCAACCCTTCTACAAAAAAAAAAAAAAAAAAAAAGTGTAAATTACAACAATGAAATAGAAGAAGTAAAGAAAATATACTGTAATGATAATGTATGCATGTATTGTGGCAATACATTGTAACAGATTATTAGCCAAAAAATTGACTGCGATGATTTGGCAACAAAGGTGTTTGATTTGCAGCTCCAGGCTTCTAAAGACCAATATTTGGAAAAAAAAAAAAAAAAAAAAAAAAAAAAAGGTATACAGCTAGGGAGCATGCCTTTCGTCAACACAAATTTTAACAGGAGCAACACACGTATTTAAATATTTTGCAAATAAAATTTCAGTACTGTAAAATGGACCATTCTGTTAATGCTTGCTATTGATAGTTTCATATGTCTTCATTTTACCAGTTATCATAGCTGTACGTTTCATGTATGGGTGTGTATATAAATTAAATGAAAATATTTTTTAAAATTTCAAAAGCTTTACCAAAATACTCTCAGCCATTTTCTCACAAATGAACCTGAGTCCCAAGTGGTTTTATTCTGAAGCTAGCAAACTACTCTGTATACTTCTGAAAGTTGATCAAAGCGGTGCAACATCCTGGTAAAAAAAGCCAGCTACTGAGCTGTTAAATACATACATAACATTAACATACCCAACTACTATAAATAGTACCTACTGCAATGTCAGATGAGATTTCCAACCAAACTGATGCACATAGACATGCACACGTTCTATATGTGTATATAAATATCACACCAAGATCTCCAATCAGCATCCTCTGTAATCTCAGGCCACTAACAATATTCTAGAATCCCTTCAGCAAGGCATGTAAGGTATCTGATTGATTTCTAAGTTCACTGTGTTTTGGGCCACTGGTCAACTTAACAACACGTGCATCTGTATTTCTTTTGCTGGCACACATGTTCTCCTTTTCACTTTCCATCACAGCCAACCCTGTTTCCCTTAACTAGCTTTTTTGACATTTTTCTTGCTCCACCGTCATTAGATCGAGATCTAAGACCAAGAAATTGCTTCTTTAGGGAGAAGGAAGTTCTATAAAGGCACAGAGAGGCCATTTTCATTCGATTTTTCAAATGATGTCCTGGCGACGGCTGTGTTTGCACTGAGACCCGTTCTGTCAGGTTTGAGTACACTTAACATCAAGGTATGATTCACGATACAGCTTCTCATTTCCAGTAATAGTAAAGGAGGACTCAAAAGAAACTTCCATTGCAGAAAATCCATTTACAGTACACCTCTCTGTAAAAGATCTATGTTGGGAGACAGCGTCTTAAGAAGACATCATGAATAAAGGAAAAGAAAGTTCCATTGTTTTCACACAATTCACACAAAACCAAACTCCACAGCTTGCCTACTCAAAATGATTGCTTTACAGAAAGTTCATATTGCTTAAAATGCACATACTGAGATTTGGTAGTGTTACCTACCTAATTTTTGAGAAAAAAAAACAACAAACACAATAAAACAAACAAGAATCTAAGTCCCAATTTCAGATAATAATTCCACTGTTAGCAATGTACCAGCCACCTCCATGGCACCTACTAGACTCTTCTACTGGCCTCCCAACTGCCTCCCAACATTCACACTGCAGTTTATGTAACATCTTATTTTATTTAAAATCTATCATTTCAGGCAGATTTATGAAGGTATCTGCGGTACAGCAATACCTGAGCTTTTAGCACAGCAACAACGCATACTTTAATACACTTTTTCAGCCATTTTATTTAAACAACCCTCAGTGGTTTGGCTAAAAAGTTTTTTGGATGCTTGTTGCTGTGGTTTGCAGAAAATACTCACTGGAACCAAGCAATTTTAGGAGACATCCTGATCATGTTACTGTGAACACGCTTGTACCCTTGAAAAAGAGAAAAGCAACAGCAGGAGCAACTCCTGCTTCCATTCGCTGCTAACACAATTTCTTTTCTGCCTTTATCAGTGACACTTGTCACTGGAAGACTGTGACCTAGTCCCCACAGTACAACAGATTTAATTGCATCATTCACATGTATAAAAAAGGGTAAAAAGTACACTGAACACCAATGAAAAATCTGAAAAGCTAACACTGCTTTTACAGTCCCTTCCCACGTAAATCACATGTAGCTTTAAAGGGTTATAATGACTTAAAGCACAAGGAATGTTTAAAAGCATAGAATATGAAAGTCTTCAGGTGAATACTTAGAAGAACATCACTAGGTTTTAGTCAGAAAAGACTAGAAGAAGGGTGAGAGTTATGACAGTGCTCCTAAAATACATTAGTAAAGTGTATAAATGTCTTGTCTCAAAGTAAGAGGAAAGCCATTGAATTCCTGCTGGAGTCCTGGCTTTTGTTTCACTTTTCAGTAATTGTCATTCACTTTCTGTGTTAATTGCAGGCCAACATGGGCAAAAAAATATAAGTTCTCATGATAAATTCTTCACTGTTGTTTATAATACTGACAAATTCATTTCAACCATTTTCTTTGTGAAATACTTTCTAATTTTCTGCAAATGAATTAGCCAACCTGGCTGTGGCAGAACCTACCACCGCCAGCACCTGATCTGTCCCAGGGCCTTACTGCATGCTATGCCCTACTGCATAATGTTGTGTAAACACCGTTCTTGCTCTAAGCATTTAAGAACAGGTTTTTCTATGTCAACATACAGCCCTATCTAGGAGAGTTTCCCAGTGCACCTTTTCAATGCCCTTCAAAAGAAACAAAACCACACCAAGTTACAAAGTTTTTGTCTAATACAGCAAAATACCTATTCAATACCTCACAGCTGAACTACATTCTCTTTTCCATAGACCACATAACCAAGACACTGATGTTTCACAGTTTCACCTCGGGATTGTCTGCTCATTGCCTGTACTATTAGCTCCTGTATCATTAGCACGACTGACTCACAAACTTCTAAACTCTTACCATTTTGCAATGACTGCTGGAAGGAACCAGACGACAGAAAATGTCAAAACACTACTTTTATCTTATCTTCCTGCGAATGCCATTAATTATCTCATTGACCACACCAAAGCTCTCTTTGAAGTGGAGATTCTCCTAGAGCTCGGTAACTCCGGTCTGGTGCCCGGAAGGCGCAGTGCTTCACAGCCGGTGTGCGCCGAGCCATGCTTAAAGAGTAAAAGGATAAGCTCCCTGATTAACACCCCTTGGGTAAAGCCGCAGGGCACCGTCTGCGCCGCCTGACAGAGGCGGGAGGCGGCGAGCGGACGGGTGTGCGGGCGGCGAAGGCCGCAGGGCGCCCACTCCCCCACGGCCCGGCGCTTCTAGCCAAGGGGTGAAGGCCCCTCACCGCATCGCTGCGGACATCTCTAACGTTCTGCCTCCTGAGGCGCCCTCACGGCATTAGCACCGCACCGAGGAACAGCTGTCGCTTCTATAGACTTCCTTAAAGGTTTACGGGGAGTTTCCCTGGCGTACGAGGCAAACGGAATTTGTGCCGCGGCTGCCAAGCGGTAAGGAGGCGAGCCCTCCTCCTGCCCGGCTCTCCCTCCGCCCGGCCCCCGCAGCGGGGGGGCGGCCCGGCCCGTCACCGCCGGACCCTGCCACGGGTACCTGTGGCGCTCGCCATGCCGGGCCCGCTGTGGCCCCGCGGGCCGGGCCGGGGAGCCCCGCTCGACCCCGCGCCGCCCCCAGACCAGCGGGGGGAGCCCGGGGCGCGCAGGGAGGGCGGCACAAAGCGCCTCCACCGCCCGCCGCTTTGTTCGCGGCGGGGCCCCGAGCTGAGCCCCCCGGCCCGGCCCCGCTGATTTACCTTCCCCTGGCCTCACCGCGCTCCCCTCGGCCTCCCCGTCACGCCGTCGCCTCCTACCTTGGCTTTCCCAGCCTCCAACTTCTTCAGCCGCTCCTCGTCCTCCATGGCGCCTATACGGGAGAGCAGAATGTTATCAGCGGCGGGAGGCGAGGTCCACCCTGCCCCTTCCCCTCAGCAGGGGCGCACACGACCGCAGTCCTGTCTCTGTCCCGCCTCACAGCAACGACAGCTGCCGTGGCAGGGCCACCGGCGCCGCCATCTTCCTCTCCACGTAAACACGCGGCCTGGGAAAGTGACGTAGAACCCCCTGCTCCTCCTCCTCCCCGGCCACCGGGGCCCGGCCGCGCCCGGGGCCGCCGCAGCGGGGTCCCGCCGGAGCCGTCCCCGGAGGAGCGGGGCTGCACCCACCCGAGGCCGAGGGGAGACCACCAGTGACAGCCACCGCGGGCAGAGCGGGGAGGAGGGGGGCGGCGGCGGGCACACCCCCCTCCACGCCCCTTCTCGCTCCGGCGGAGAGAAGGGAGGGGGCGGGGGGGGGAAAATGTGTCTCTCCCCACAAAAGAACTGCGGCGGGAACGCGCCTGTAGTTGGCTGCGGGTTTGTGTGAGACAAAGGCCTGAGCAGACAACACCCTTCTGCCGCCCTCGCAAATCCCACCGCCCCGGCTGCGGGGCTCATTCGGGCAGTTTGGATTTTTCCGAAGTGTTTTTTTGCCCCTGCGTACGGCTCTCCAGATGGCGCTTCCCATCCCCTGGATCCGGCGCTTGGAAATGCAGCAAGGAGCCTTTTCACCGTGTGTGGCAGACTATGGAAGGATGACAACAAAGGATGTGTAGCCTCCCTGCTTAAATTACTTAATATGCATTTGTCGTGCCAGAGGAGTTGAAATAGGTGTGCTAAGATCACAATGGGGAATATGGCACATGGCAATTAAATGCTAATACAATTTCTAGTCCTCAGCGTTCGATTCAAAGCAACGTTCTGGGATTACCTCGTATCGTCTACTAAACGTGTGCCTTGCAAGGCTAATCGCAAATTTGAATTGCGTGTTGGCGATGTGCTTTTTCTTTCAGTTACCCCCGGAGTGGGTTCCGTTTGTGGTGGTGCCATGGGTGGCACAGGCTCACACATTGCTGGCAAGGCTCTTGCTGAGAGTGTGTTAACAGCTGCATGAGAACAAGCAGTTTCCTTGTTCTGCATTTGGAATCATTCTGCTTTATTACATGCAAAATCTAGAATCTTTCTGAATTAACTTAGATCTTGTCCTTGCAGCTTTTTAACACAATTCATTTAGTGTACATTCTTTACTCGCTTGAATTTTCAGCAGAGACCAGATATGCCCAAAACAGAAAAAATGCCAAAAGAAAACATTATTGCACAGTGTTCCTGACCAGGACTAAGACAAAAAATATTAGGACTCCTAGCAGCTGACTCCCACACCCATATTACTGCCAAAGTAAACTAAACCTACAGTCTGAAATTTTTAAGAATTTTCCACTCCTAAAAGGCATTACATTTCATGAAAAAGTCTGAAATAATTTGTTGATCAGTACATGTAATGTGCATTCCTGTATTTACAAAACAATGTCCTCAACCTTCACTCAAAAAGGAAATGAATGCTATTTATGTCAAAAGAAGAAAATGCCATCCATGGTAATGAATGACAAATGTCTGCAATTTACTTTGTTCTGTATTTGCAGTAAGCATACGCTTCAATTACAGTTCTCAGACTTTGCTATTTCACTAGAGGAAAAGCATGTTATGGAGAAAAACAGCAAGTGAAAACAAAATTAATAATAAATTAAAGAGGAAATATTTTTACAGAAATACAAATTTATTTGACTTTGTTCCTTAAAAAATATGTTCTCCAATCAGTAAAAGAAAGTGATTTACATGAAGCCTGTACAAATGGAAGTTTTCCCCAGCAATTGCAAAGCCCCAGAGGCCCCTGAGAGAAAAATAAGTCACCTTGTCTGTGCCAATGACATTACTCTTGGCTGATGGAGGCCATCATCACAGAACTAGCGGTTAAGTGTCAGTAAAACTTCACACAGGCATGACACTATGATAGTAATTTCTTAATCACTAAATATTCCATTTAAGAGATAATTACAAACTTCCCAAACCCTGTAATTAAATGGGTTCTTGAGTTAATGCTAAGTATGGATGGACCTAATTTTCCTCTCACGTACAGACTTATATCCATGTAATTCTAATGGATTTTAGTAACAACACCTAATTTATGACAATGAAAGACATGAAGATCAGACTGACAAACTATAATAGAGTACGGTGGAAGTTACTACTGGATAAAATATCGCAGGGAATAATATTTCCTTATTCTTTCAACATTAGAAGAACAGGACTTTCCTAGGAAAAGAAATAAAATCCATGCAGTATGATTTCCTACTTCAGCTATTTAAACTCCTATTTTATCATTTATGTAGGGCGAGCTGACTGGAATTCACAACACAGCCAATTAAACTTTCAGTTACAGAAAGACATTAATCTTACTTGCTTAACTGTCAGAATTGACCAATATTGTTCACTTGCCTAAGAATGTGAGATAGTGCCCAAGAGTCAAGCTAATAACTGTTTTAGAGATCGATTAACTTGCTAGCACTCATTGAATTCACATAAGTTAAACATGTGTAAACTGTTTTCAACAGAAGATATGTGAAGTGAACCAAATTAACACCATAGAACATACAGATCATTCTCCAAAATAGGGATGATTGGTGTTTTGCCCCAGGCTTACTTTTATATACTAATACACTGATTATTGGAAATGTTCATTAAAAACTGCTTCAAATATCAGACCTAGTTTTTAGTTGTGTTTGCCTGTAAACAATGACAAAGGCCTCTTCACTTAGGCATTTTCTCTGTTTCCCCTTCTGTTTCCTGTATTCACTGTTCAGTGAAGATATGCCTGGTGAGTCTCATCGTGGCGCTTTAGTGGACTGAGAAGCCAAAAGATGAAGCCTAATGACCACGTGTGATAAAGTCACAAAGTTCTGGTTGGGAAATTCAAGTTCTGTCAGTGGCCACTGAAGCCAGAATCACAGGGCTGCCAGACCGTAACATGCTGCTGGTAAATCACGTGTAAATAAAACGCAAAAATTAGAAAATATCACAGGCCTAAACCGATGATACAACCTCTTCTGGCAACTAAGGGGCTCAGATATTGTGTGTTCTCAGGTGTCGTAATTATCAGCAATACCACTTAATAATGAGACTATCCAACTCTAATTTATTTCCTTCAACAAAAATTACATATTGGAATGGAAGACTCCTACATGAACTGTGTAAGATTCTCTGAATGAGCTTTCTTAAGAGAGCAACAGATGTGTTTAATTGCAAATGTCTGTATTTGGTCAACATAACATAGTCCTCGTGCTAATGGATATGCAACCTCTGATAACTTATGTCCAGCAGTTATGCCGTGACACTAGATCTGCTGTACAAAGCCCACCTGACAGGATAACACATTCAGTTATAGTGAACATTAAACGGTCAAGCGTGAAAATAAGAGACATCACCATCTGAGAGGTGACCATGCCAAAGGTTTTATTAGATTGGGACATGCACCTGCTTTCATTGAACCTAGTGGGAGTTCTACAGCTGATTGTACTGACAGGTAGGCAAGGCCTCAGTGCTTACCTGTCATAGTGCCTATAAACCAAAATGATTTGCCTCCACCTCTTTGCACAAAGATTATGAGGTTGACTTAATCACTAGCTTACCTCTGCCTTTGCCACAGTCTGCTGTGCCAGCTCTGTCCCCTACCATCTGCTCTGCAGCTGCACTGGGCATCACCTTGCACTGAGGCTTCCCAGAGTGCTGCTTTGCTGGAGTGGTTGCAGCAGGCAGGTGATTTAGGCAAAATGTGTGAAGTTCATAATTTCAGAGACCCATTGTAGGTACTGCTGAGGGAGGATTACAAAATCATATTAATTTGCTGTTAGTAAGTGCAAGTCAACTCCAGTTTCAGGTAGAACTTGGCCTACTGTATTTGGGTAGTCTGACTAGATGTCATAAAAACATTTTTTTAAGACCTTGGTCACATTCCCCTTAGGGATTTTGCGGTATGTTATTTATTTTAGGACTACCTTGAATCCTGTTAGATAAACAGGCAAGTGTTCTCTTCTTCAAAGCAGGACACAACAAATGCCACTAGAAAATAAACAGTGAGGCTTGGTGGTTAAGTAGTAGGTCAGCTAGTAGGATTTAAAGAGTTTGGTGTGAGGTTTTTTTTCCTTTTGAGATTTACTGGAGAAGCATGGTTGCATGAAAAATTATTAAATAGGGGAGCTGATGAATATACATAGAATCAAAGTCCCATGTATCACCTCAAATTTCTGATCTCTTGTATGTATGTTTTAATAACAAAACAGTGTTTTGAATGAATGTAACAGTAATGAAACAGTATAGGTTCTGAGGATGAAAACAAAATGTTCCAACATAAAAAGAAACAGTGAACAAAAAAATGCAATTTTTAACCCATTTCTGCAGCTGTGAAGTTAGATAAATTTATACTTACAATTGCAAACAGTGTCCCACTGGCGTTTGTCACTGCTCAGCATGCATTTGTCTTCCTAAATTAAAGTAAGTTTTAGCGAGTTTTGTTATAACAGGTGACAGAAGAAATCAGACACTAAAGCATTCCACAAGCATATGTGTTACAGGCATTCACTTAATACATTAATAAAAGTGGGCTTGCTAACATGCTTCGGTCACACGCACTCGAGCCCAACACACAGAAGTGTTTCTCTTGTTTCCAAAATCAGACATTTCCTCTGCTGAAAAGACAATAAAATAACTCATATGAAGCTGTAAAGCACAGATTTCTTGTGATATTACACTAACACATAACTCCTGGAGATGAGTGTCTTTGTTTTCTGAATCCCAGCGTTGTACAGCTATAGTTAGACAAATTTTAAGCTCCACACATCTTTTTTTAGGCATATTTAAGTCTACTCCTTAGCCTTTAATTAAGACAAATACTGTGGTACTTGGTTGCTGCTTTGATGTAAATACTGTAGCTAGGAAGAGGCAAGGCTCTTCAGCTAAGACGTTTTGCAAGATGAATAATTTATTCTGCAGGCATAATATATCAAGGAAGGTAATTTAATACAACCAATTAAGTAAGTGACCCAGAAGCATCAAGCTGTCATTTGATATTTGAGGTATGTACAAAAGATTAATTTCTACCACAATTTATTTATTTATATCAGATATATGTAGAGTTATTAGAGTATACATTTATTTGTAAGTGCTGACA